AATTAAAATAAAAAAAAATTTATTAGATTTAATAAGATAGTTGACAAGATATTTATATTTAAAGTTAAGAAAACTTTACTTAGAAAAAATTTGTACCATTTCTACTAACTCCCCCCCATATATATATATATATTAGTTTTTGTATATTTACTTTTATTTTCTTTACTTTTTTTTATATATATTAATTTATTTATTTTTTATTTTTTCAAAAAAAAAAACTCTAAACAGCTTTGTACACTTGGTTACAATTATTAACATAGTAATAGTGTTAAGAAAGATGAAAAGAAGTCTTTTGAATATTATATAAAAGCAGCTGAGTTACAAAATTTAAATGCGATAAGGTTTTGTTATAAATATAAACATGTGATTGAATAGATTCCATTTGATAGATTATCTGATATTAAAGAAATCAGAAAAGGAGAATTTGGTTCTGTATATTCAATAATCTGGTTGTTTTATATATATATTTGTTTTTTGTATGTTTACTTTTATTTTCTTTACTTTTTTTATATATATTAATTTATTTCTTTTTTTTTTTTTTTAAAAAAAAGACTCTAAACAGCTTCGTACACTTGGTTACAATTATCAACATAGTAATAGTTTCAAGAAAGATGAAAAGAAGTCTTTTGAATATTATATAAAAGCAGCTAAGTTAGGAAATTTGAATGTGATAAATGAAGTTAGTCTTTATTTCTTATGTTGTTGATATCATTCTTTTTGTTATTGAAGGTGAGGTTTCGCCTGTAAATATAAACATGTATTTGAATAGATTCTATTTGATAGATTATCTGATATTAAAGAAATTAGGAAAGGAGAACCTGAAGAAAGTTTCAGTTTTCTTTTTTTAGTGTTATTGTATTTTATAAATCCTAAGTCAACTAATAAAAATTATTTTGGCTGAATTCAATAAGTTTTTAAATTTAGTGTTATTATATTACTGCAATGCCAAAAATCCAATTCTGATAATACCAAATTTAAAAACATTGAATTTAACCAAAATAATTTTTATCAGTTGTCCCAAAATTTATGATTGTTTTTGGTGAAATTTTGGCATAATAAAAGTTGAATGGTATTGTTAGTTTCATAATTATATATCATTAGAGTTAGTTAATGATAAATACTTTGATATTAATAAGTAATAATAATGAGAAGATGCAATTATAGGTTATTCTAATAATGATGATGAGTTTACACTGTTTTTGAAAAGATATTGTAATTTTTTTTAATAAAAGATTTTTTATTGTACAAATTTTATTTTATTTTTTTTGTTTTATAGTAACCAATTTTTTTAATTCTTTGAAACTATGTTTTTGTTATATGATGCTGTGATTACATGATACTAACCTAGATCAGAATATAGATTTTCACGTAACCTGAAAAATCTCATCTACATCTTGTATCTGTCAATGTCTACTATTAAATGAGAAAGTAACCTAATTATGAGTTCTTAGTTGTAATATCTATTTGGAAGTATATTTGTAGCTATATAAGTAAAGTAAAAAATATATATATAAAATATTAATAAGAAAGGTCAGAAAAGCAAAAAATCTTAGTTAGATTTAAAACAGGTCATACCTTACTGAGTAAAGCTTAGATCACAGATAAAATAGTCTGAATTCTCTGTATTTAAAGTTGCTTAGTTGTACCACATTGTAATGTATCTATAATTAGTAAAACTAATAAA